CGTGAGGCGCGTTGGCGTGTGCTAGGGAGGCACGTGGGCATGCCCATCCGCCTGACCGAGAGGCACGTGGGTGTACCCGGCAGGTTCCGAGGGGAGGACCCACGGTGGGCGGGTGCTCCACATGCCCTGTCGGGAAGCACGCTGGGTGTAGCCACCTGCGGGGGGTGCTACCTTGCCTTTTTGGGCAGGTGTGGGCATGACCACATGCCCTGATGATGGGATCACCCATGGGCGCTGCCCGGAAACCGTCCGGGTGATCCCATCACATATGGGTGATGCCCTCTGCTTCGGTTGGGCGTTCCGGGGTGATCCCACATTGATGGGTGGATACACCCGGACCTGTCCCGTCAGGCATGATTGGGTACACCACGGGGGGGTTCAAAGGAGGCGTTCGGGTGTACCCAATCAAGCCTTGGGTGTTGCCCAGGTTGAACATGCCGTCGGCATGGCGCGGCATGTGTGCCGACGCTCGGCATCTGTACCCGGTGTAGTCAGTAGTTTCTGGACCTTCATAGGATACCTTGTTGGCTGCATAGCGTGATATAAGGGCACTGACTGTGGGCAACAAGGGCCTGCAGACCTTTTTTTTTATTATTTGATGCGGTCGACCGGGAGGCAGACTCGGATCCTCTAGCTGTGCCCAGCATAATGCTTTGTTGACCGAATTGGTTCTATTCTCCGGTCCGGTGATGCTATCACTTCAGGTTCGACTCTCCCTTAGGACCTTTTTCTTTTGCCTCCCCTTTCTCCCTCTTTTTACTATTTTTATCCCAAAGAAATATATAAAAATAGAGACCTACCTTTGGTGTTTTTCCTTGCCCTAGATAGCCTCATATACCAGAGAATATCCTTTCACCTGTCTAGACTACTTACTTTATAGACTCAGACTTATTCTCTTCATCCTTTTCTATTATTCTTTTGCATAAATATCTAATATGATATCATGTATAGAAGCCCTGCAAGCCAACCCACATACTTGTAGTTTTTTTCCTTGCCCTAGATACTATTATATAGCAGAGAATATCTTTCTATCTACCTATGCTGGTCACTCTATAGTCATCTAGACCCCCCAGCCCAGAGCCCAGAGCCCTATACCCCCCTATATACCATACCCCCACATACTATTCAAAGTCCTTTTCCCGTCCCCTAATTACCATAATATATTTCCCTAGACTAGTCTGACCATTCACATAATTTTTTTATAATTTTCCCACGAGTATACAGCTTAAAATGAATTTAATACTATTTGCCCAGAATCGGTGAACCACAGGCACCAAACAGCTGGTGTGATGTGACAGGGGGTGGAGACACCCATGGTGATGGAAACAGCCATAGCCTGTGGGTTGAACCCATCCAGGGGAACCTCTTAGGTTAGAAGTCAGGGGGGGGTATTTAACCCTAACAGGTCTAGGGGGGGGGTAGCCTGAGGTGAGTATCAAGTCCTGTTTCCCAAGGTGGGTTACAGCCAGCTGAACGCGTTCGAAGTGTCCGTTGTATCGTAGGACCAGGTCCGCGATTTGGCGAATAGACCCAGCATCATTGGGGGTGCCGTCGACATTGTAGACCGGTATGGGTACTGAGAGATTTCGGACTGGCACGTTGTTTCGGTTGACGTATTCTGTGTCGATAAAGTCCGGTGGCTCCGCAGTCGACCAGACCTGAGAGGGAGAGGCTTGAGCGCGTTCGCAGTGGACTCAAGCTCAAGAGGAAGGTGGAGCGAGTTAACCCCAGGAGCGGCAGAGATGGTATAGCTGCCAGGTAGCTTTTTCTCCCAGGCAAGTCGGCGAATCCGAACGGGGGCTTGGAGGGGGGCAGGGGGCGTCTTTCGTTTCAGGCTCGTTGTAAGGCAAGGGAGTTGATTCATCATACAAACAAGTGAAACGATTTATGGACGCGAACGAGGGCACACCAGTCACTCGTCGCAGGGGACAAAATCCTCTGCCGGAGCCTCCGAATGCGCCTCTGCTAAGGCCGCGGTGTCGGACAACCGCGCAAAGTAGCTCTCCCAGCATCTCATCGCCAAGTTGCTGGATCACCTCGTCGAGGATGTCCATATGGCGAACATCGGCGGGGAGCGGACAGTCCCGAGCCAAGTGATTGGGGTCGCCGCATCTGAAGCAGGCTCGACGAGGGGCCCCCGAGCCCTAGTACGATCCAACTCCATAGGGACGGGAGCCGGAGGTACCGGGACGGGGCGCGGGCCGGTGGCGCAGGTGTGGCCACCGGGCGGATGGGGAACGGAGTTGCCGAACGAGTGATGGGGAAGGCGCCGCGGGAGCTCCCGGCGGTCCGCGGGGTAGCCGTTCCCTTAATGAGCTTCGCCGCACCAGGGCTTCATATTGTCGGAAAGCCCGAGTGCGCCAGCCCAGATAGTCACGGAGGTCTGGGGGTCGTTCGAAGAGGTGATGCCGTTGTTGATCAAGGGGTCAAGTCCGTGGCGGTACTTGGTTACCTTAACCAACGCGTCTTGAAAACCAGCGAGGTCCATCAAGTCCTCGAGTTGTCGGTATATCCGTAGACATCCCGCGTTCCCATGTGATAACCCGCGCTTTCCAACTTAGCGAGCGAGGGTCCTGTTCGTTCTCCTCAACGAACCGAAGGCGAAACCTCGGAGAGGAACTGGCTCCACCGAGGGAAGGGGAAGGGTTTTTGCTCCCATGACGCTCTGCCCATTGCTGAGCAGGTCCCTCCGCCATATAGGACATGGCGTAGCGGACGGCCTTTTCTTCACTCGGCTCTCCGTTAACCACGAAGGCCTCCGGGGCAAGCCGAGCGTAGGTTTTGACCGCGTATAGGAAGGCGGCCCGCGTTTGCGATCTCCGTTAAACGCAAACGGGGGGTTTGGTCGTAAGACCAGTTTTGAGGCGACAGTAATGTCACCAAATAACGCATCCGCATCGGGGGCATTCGGAGATGCCGAAGGCGGTTCGGGAGCTGCCGGAGGTGGTGCGGCAGCAGAAGCCTGGGAAGCAAGGTGGGTGAGGATATTGGTGAGGTTGTCTAGTTTCGCCTCAAGTGCGTCCATGCGCGCGTCAGCGTCCGGAGCAGCTCCGGTAGACATAGCGGGCGTAAAGACGACAAGAGCAGAGGAGGAGGGGTCAAGTGGCAGGGGCGGTGACGAGGGGGGTACGGACTCGTACTCCGAGCCTGAGTCAGCACCAAACCTGGCAATCTTGACCGGTTAATCCCGTAGAGAGTTTCTTCTGCTGTAAGGGCAACCCTGGAGACTCCGACGAAAGCCTAGCAGGGGAGGATCCAAAGAGTGAATAAGACTACGGGAAATACACGGAGGGACCGACCTAGCAGGGGAGGATCCAAAGAGAAGAAACTCTAAGGGTCCGCCTGCTAGGGCGCCAACTATATACTGGTCGTCCGTAACTGCCGACGTAGAGTGCAGAAGGCCTGAGCGGCGTCGCAGGCTCTGTCCCAAGGTGATCGTTGGGAGGGTCTTGACGGATCGGTGATTGTGCGGGCGAAGGAGGCCATGGACGATGGTCGGGGTGGGTCGGAGCGTCCGAGGGGGCGCCGGTCGGATGCGCCTCGGATGCGTTCGGAGGGTCCGAAGGAGGCCGAAGCGGGGGTTCCCCTGACACCGGGAAGTAGAAGCTGAGGTCGACATGTGCCCCTTTTTTAACACCTGCGCAGGTGTGACCGGATACATGATCTTCGCGCTGGAGCCGCAGTTTGGTGTGTCCTCTGCCGCCTGGTGGGAAGTGGTGTTCGAGGACCGTGTCAAGTAATGCTCGCAGGCGCTGGTTCCCCGGCCGCATGCACCAAAGGTTAAGTGTGCAACGCTCAAGAGCGGGTAGCGCGAGCGCACCGAGAAGCCGGTGGCTGCAGATATCGATGGCGTATCTGTCCGTAAAGTCGGTGACGGACAGGAAGCGCAAGCGGGGGAGGACAGTTGTCTCTTCAAAGGCCGGTGGAGCTGGCACTGGCATAAATCGTCTTCCGAGCTTGAGCTTGAGTGTGACGAGGTCAGGGAGAGTGGAAAAGACGTTCAGCAGTGCTTGATCGGCAACGTTTACCGTCAGGTCAAGCATCGCAAGGTTCGCCGACGTGAGCCGGAGGATTTGAGGAACAGAAGTGGAAAGACAGAGCGAGCGCAGTTGTGGATAGAGGCCATTTGCTGGCACAGAAATGTTTTTACTGGCATTATCTGCCACAGCGAAATTGAAGTGGAGGAGACGCGGGAATCCGTTGCTGAGCGCTCGTAGCATGTCCGCGGACGGTTTTAATGGGGACAGGAATATAAGGTCAATCGCGGTGATGCGCTCTCGACATTCCTCCAGCACAACGACGACACGGCTTTCCAAATATATCGAATAGGGGTCATCGCGCCAAAGAATGGCCTCCACGATAAGCGGAGCACCCTGGGCCCGGTGGAGACACTGTTGGGTCCATTTGGCCGTACTGAAGTTAATACGTGACCAGAGCAGTGGTGTTTCGAGCGCCAGCTGACGCCAGGTGACACACACGTGTGTGCACTCAAAATATGAGTACCGCTCGCGGGGAGGTATGGTGATGTACGTGTCTGTGTGTCCATCACCATACGTGTAGAGGAAAATCTGTCTGAGAACATCGGGCGGGAGCACATAGATGTACGGGGTGTTGTCGGTTGTGGGGAGGATTTCGAAGCTTTCAGTTGTCCTCGGTCCCGAGGCTGTAGACTCTGAATCGGAGGCCGCTCTCGATCGTCGCAAGAGCCGTAGACGGAGAACTGTGACACCGAGTGTGATACTCGGCCGGTAGTGGCACAATAGGCAACTCACCGTTTCTTACTGCCTTCAGGCCCTTCATGGTGGTCAAGACGAGGTTACAAGTCTTGAGCCCGTTCTTGACGACGAGCTGACAGCTGACACTCAGTGCTGTAGCATCAGAATTGCGGAAAAAAGATGATTGATCACAGCCGGCGCCGACCGGGAAAGCGACAGGGACTTCCCAATTTGAACCACCTCATAGGCTAGAAGAATCTGTATCCTTTTTAGTTCATAGTATTATCAGGTTGCCTCCGTAACATTGATCCACAGCCCATCCTGCGTTGACATCGTCATATGCAGTTTCGGGCGGAACCGCTCCATGCCCTTCCGGCCAGCACACGACTTCCACACGTCCGGGGGCAGCGCACCGGGCGCAAACGCGCTCTCGTCGAGCGCAACCGCGGCGAACGCCTGCATGAAGCGCACGAGCATGAACGCCATCTCGTTATACGCGAACTGCTGGCCGAGGCAGATCCGCGGGCCCGCATTGAACCTGGGCGGGATGTCAAGGAAGCGGACGGCAAGCAAGGGAAGGCACGCACGGGAGGAACTGGAATGTGTTCTTGAGGATGGTATTCTTCACGCGGTCGTCGAGGAAGCGATCGGGGTCAAACTCCTCAGCTACACACCAATCAGTAGATGCTAAACAAATGGCGGGATGCAGACCGTCGGCTCCCCAGAGGTCCTTGCGACGGTGCATGATAAAGACGGAGTAAGCGAGTCTGAGAAAACAAGTCAGTTGCAAGGCTAGGCGATAGAAGCCCCATACTTTGAGCCAGCCGGAACGTATAGCGGACGCGGGTCAGCTGGGTCCGGCGAGGGCCAGGTCGTTGCCTCGACGTTCTCGCTGGGAAGAGGCGTCAGCTTTCGTTGACCGGGGAGATATAGCTTACCGGATGTTAAATGGGACAGAGGGATACAGGCGCATCGTCTCTGTCAACACGTCAGACTTCGGACACGGGAGTCTGGTCACTGTACCGTTGAGTACCGCCCGGAGGAACTTCATCTCCTTGATGTCCTCGTAGGTGGGCCGACGGGTGGGCCCTACTTGTGCAAGCATTTCCTCCCGCGCACGGCGATAGATGTCGGGGTACATTGTGAAGCTAGATAGATATCAGCTGCGGAAACAGGTATGAGCGAAATACGCACAAGTAGACGCAGACGGTGAGAGTATGCATGGTAGTATCGCGTCCGGCTAGTAAGCGTTAGCGGTGGACAAACTCCCCCAGGGGATTTGTACCTAGCAACATATTCAGCCTAGAAATGAATCAGTTAATGGCCAAAGGTGGGGCAGATGATTGGCGCACATCTCATCCTTCAACACCTGCGGATCTGCCTGCGTTCAATCCATGTTCAGGTTTGCATAACCCAAACTCACCGTCCGTCTGCTCCAACATCTCTGTCAGCAAACTCATCCCATCCCGGTCCTCTTCCGTCTGGTCTTGCACCTTCCCTAACCGTTTTTTCTCCACCGCAGCGGCGATGACTGGGTCCAAGTACTCGCTGATGACCTTCATCGCGGGCTTGGTCTTGTCCCCCATTATTTCGAAAAGGGGCCAAATGCGTCCAAGCACCTCGCGCTCGCTGATGCGGAGCATCGCCTCGGTGAATGCGTCGGTGAAGCGCGTTGCGGCGAGTGCCGTCGGGTCGCTCGGTGGGGGCGGGAGGGAAGAGGCAGGTATGTTGTGTGGGTAGGGGATGTGTGCTTTGAGAGAGTGGATACACGAGTCAAAGAGGAATTCGGAGGCGGAGTCCATCGTGAAGCGGCCAATGAGGTCCTGACGACGTTTATGAGACTGTTGCGAAAGAGGGAGGCATGACGCACCTGGAAATCTACCGAATACCCCTCTCGAGTCCGCCGTTTTAAAAGCGAAACAACATCGTCTGCATGGCGGTCGAAGAGGTCGAAGTGGCTGATGCGGTCGCGGCTGAAGAATGGCTTTGGGAGGGTAAGCTTCACATACGGATACCACGACTCGGAAACCCACCCGAGTTATTTGACGATGGAATTTCCACATATCTCCTGCGTTGCTGCATGAGCCGTGGCATCTAGAATGAGAGAGAGGGGCAACCCACCATCGGAGTTGAAGACACCGGTCTAAGTCAAGGGTCAACTAGGGGCAGACGACGATATCAGAACAACTCACCCCGAGTACGCCACGCATCCCATAGCGGAACCTCTCCCCTTTCCCACATGATCAGTAACCAGTCTCCGGCGGAAGTAGACACCACACCCTTCACGTAGTTGTTAAAGTCGGTCGCAAGAATGAGCTTGATGTGCTCCGGCGCCGTTGTCAAATTCGTCGCCATCCACAACACCCTGAAGTTAACTGTGGGCCCCAGCTCGTCGATGGCCTCGCGTAGGCCGTCCGCTGGTCAAACATCATCAGCCCAGACCATACGCTAACAGCCAAGACGCACCAGGGTAGCCATACTTGCGGTTGTACCGCATCTGCTTCAGGATGTCGATACTCGCTATGGAGCGGCCACGGACGACGGGGATGAGTCGAGCGCCAAGCGCGGTGGCAGCGCGTTGGTTGCGCCAGTCGCGCCGGACAACGAGGAAGGCTACCAGGGCCGGGAGGGTCAGCAGCCCAACACTGAGGCTCAACCATCGCGGGAGGCCGAGGCGCGCCAGGAGGGCACCGGTGAGGAAAGGAAGGGAAAGGATCGGTGAGGAGCGGAGGAGGAACGAGAGACCGGGGGTGAGTGTGAGCATGATGAGAGAGGGAAGGAAGACGGGCCGCCCAGGGGGCGCCCATCCATCGCCATGTGGACAGTGGCATTGTCGATCCCGCTCAGAATTTCACATAGAAAGCCTGCCAGCTTGGCACCCTAGCCTGACCCTAGCTGCTGCTCGACTTCGAACTTGGTCTTTGGAGCGTCCAGTGGCGTCGGTTTCGTCATTGTCGTGGAGGAAGAAAACAGCGAGATCGATGTCACTGTTAGTGATGTCACTGTTAGCAGTCACACGTGTGATGATGTGATCAGGAGTCACGTCCTTTGCTTATACTTATCGATGATCAGGGAGTCACGTACTTATCGGCTGTAAGCCTGTAACCCTAAGTGTAAAAGTCATGGCGTTTTTTACTCTCAATGCGTTCTCTTTCGTTATGACGTCGCGAAAAAAAAATAATCCCCATACCCATTCTTAACATTTCTAATTTAATATTGATTTGCGCTCATGATTTCCGAATTTACACAAACTTGCACTTACTGTATTCAAACCGACCGGTTAGCACATCTTCAGCACCACGATTTCCTGGCCGTGGCTCTGCACAGAGTTTTTGAGTACCTCGTTTTCCTCTTAATATCAACGCAACTGACCTGGCCATCCACCGCAATGATGTTCCGCTCATCCATCAGGAACATCTCGTACTCTTCACCCCCTTCATCGTCCTCTGCGTCCTCTTTTGAAATGACACGCTGTACCTCGCGATACGGCAGGGTCGTTCGGACCGGATGCTGGAACAGCCCCGCGTATTCGTCCATCGCGTTAGGCGAGCTGGGCGGCGAAGAATCTACGTCGGCCGCTGTCTGGCCTTCTTCACTACCTGGGCCATCCACTTTCCCTTCGGAATCCTCCTCATCGTCCTCTTCGACATCGCTCCCCGGCCCCGGGTCGTCCCTCGGCGCAGGCACGCTCACGACAATGGTAATCTGGAGGTTACTCGCGCCACTGTGCAGCACGTCCAGGTCAGCCAGCGGCTCGCGATCACGAGGATCGCGAACAGTAGGCGCGTCGTCCACTTCAAGCACGTGCGGCATGAAGCCTGGATCGTCGGCGCCCCAGAACCGATCTTCCTCAGAGACAGCGGTTCCAGGCGGAACGTGTACATTGAAGTCGAGAAAGCGAAGGCCGCGACAGTCGTGCGCGGGGGTGGGCAAAATGAGGCATTCACCGTGGACGTGGCTATGCAAATGTGAACGGTCATCAATGACCTTGAGGATGAAGACATACCGGGGAGACCAATTGCGCAGTCCGCGCAGCATCCTCGTATGCTGTGGGCCCCACCCTTCCCATTCATGCTCAATAACCTCCCGCTTTTGCCGGTACTCATCCAGCAGTGCCAACACGGTCCGAATATGGAGAAAAAGCCGGACCCAATCGCCCGGCTCGTATCGCATGACGAAGGATATGATTCTGCGATCGTTCGCCTGGTAGTACGGCGCATCGGGCGGCGGATGGGAAATATACGGCCCGGCTTGAATTGTCACCTGCGTCAGCGAGCAGTACACATTCGACAGCAATGGCAAATGCAGTGACGCAAAAAGCTCGACCTTGACCTCCGCAGGCTCGAGGGAGTCAGAAATGAGATACAGTCGCAATGACCCGTTATGAGTATGATCGCCCCTGGTCGTGCAGCCCTTGCCGACGAATAACATCAGCCGCGGGGCGAGCATATAGCAGTCCGACACTTCCCATGGCGCGTATTCAGGGTCGCCGGCGAAGTCCAGCGAGAGTACTTCTTTCCCTTTCTGCCAGTCGAAAAGCAACAGGCGCCAACCAGAATGGAGGTATATCGCCACGACATCGTCCAAAACTTGCATTGTCATGTAGGTGGCGTGGTCCGCAGCGCAGATAAAGTAGATCTCCGGCTGGCTCGCCAAATGATGTGCTACCAGAGGGTCAGACAGCTTGCGCAAGGCCAGTACACCCGTGGCGTCGTCGTTGACCGAGAAGATCGCAAGCAAGTCCTGTCCCGCATCGAGCGCAAAGTCCTGGAAGTTTTCCATCGAAATGCCCAGCTCGCACGTCTTCAACGCGTCGTCAACGTTGCTATCATTCGCTGTGTGGAGCTTGGAGAGGCGCAGAACATTCAGTTTGCCCAACGTTTCCTGCAGCACGAACACTCCGCCGCCAAGCTCGTGCGCGCGACACGCATCTGGTGGCTGCATCTTGACAACGCGTTTCGCGGTCTCTTGCACTTGGCGCCAAGCCTCGCGACGCGCCACCAAATCCGCGAGGCATTCGTTGAGATTGGCGGCCCCAGTATTGCCAGGAAGCAGCCCATCGCGCCACAGCTCAGCGCTGTACTTCAGCTTGGGCGTGTTCTCTGCCAGTTCATTCCAGAGGCGCGATACCTACAATCGTTCGCTCAGGGGTTGGCATCACAAGAAGCAGCAGGAAAACACGGACTAGGCGGCAAAGGATGAGTCTTCGAGGATGTAGATGGCCCAGCACCGTCGCCAGGATCTCCACCGGCAGGTCGTGTATTGCAGTCATCGATGATGGGAGGCGAGAGCAAAGAGGGGTGATAGCCGTGACATGACAGTCACAGTGACTCGAGCGGCAATCAACCTCCACGTGGCACCGCGCTTGTCTACAACGTCGATGTCGCCACGGCTGCCCCCCGAACTCGAGCGGACTATCTTCGAAATGGTGGCGTGGCAGTGGCGCGGAAGCATCCCGCCGCTTCTGCGTGTTGCTCGGCGGGTAAAACATTGGTGCGTAGCGACCCCGGGCCCGCGAACGTCATTGGTACCTTGACTGGCCTGACGATCATCGAGGCTGGAGCCCATCCTCTATGAGACCATCTTGGTCACTGAAGATCAAGACAGCGTCGCTGATGTGATCTACTGGCACTCCACACACGAAATAAAGTCGCTCATCGCGCAGCGCGACCCCGCTTCATTCAGCGCTCTGGTTCATAATGTATTCCTGTCGCCCACAATTTCGGAGGACGAGCGCAACCATATATGCGAGTCATTCCCCAACCTCTCCAACCTCTACACAACACTAAAAGCCGCCCTCAATGCCCCACTCCCGCGTCTCTTAAAGTTATATGCACCGCCGCACGTCCTCAGCTTCGACCAATCTACTCTCAGCACGCGGTTTCCCTCTCTGACACACCTGTACCTCTTTTCCCGCAGCATCCCGTTGTACGTATGGGCCGTAGGGCCGCTCAAAAATGTTACTTGGAGTGCGCTCGGACAACTTCCCCGACTATCGCACCTCTTACTGACCTCTTCTCCCGGCACGCCCGCCCTCGACTCAATCCTCGAGTCCTGCCCCTCGCTTATCCTGCTCCTCATCCTCCGGCCCACCTACACCCTGTATCCCAGCCACTGGCACCCGCCCCCGACACCAACATCAACCCACGACGTCCGCCTCGTGGTCGTACCGATCAACACTCGCTATCACGGAGTGACCCACTGGCAGCACGATGCGTTTGCCGTACCTCAATGGCGTGAGAGTCTGTGGAAGAAGGGCGAACGGCTGGCCGAGGCGAGACGCAACGGGACGGTCGATGGTGAGTAATCGGACTAGTTTGACTTGTAATTATATATGCTGACGACTTACTAGCAGAACACTATGAACTGCCGGAAGAGCCGACTTCCCGTGTCGATGCCTTCCCATTGCCGTCGCCGCAGCAGAATTAACCCAACTGAGATTCAAAGCATAAGCACAAGGGCAGATGAGTTCCAACAGCATTGCCCCCCATCGGAGCCCATTCTTTCACAACCTACGAACAAATACTACTCTCTGAGTGCATCATACATATTCCTTCACGGCCTCCTTCACAAACGCGATCATCTCCTCCTCCATCTTGGTATCCGTCGCGCGTTTGTCAGGCTTGCCCACGCTGCCCCACGGAACCAGATACTAGTTCGGGAAACATTAGACTCGGGCAAGGATATTGTTGTAGAACACGAACCTGGCCGGTGATCTGCCCCGGCGTAGCGACCGTCGCGCCCCAAAGCTGAGTTAGGGCGCCAAATCTGCAGAAAAGATAGTTAGAGGGGCAAAACGCAGGGAAATAAGAGCGCACGGAGTAGGATACAGCAGGCCATCGGTCATGGTCCGCAGCCAACCCATATGACTAGCGAATGGTAAATATAGATACGTGAAGAAAGTCAGGACGACGCACCGTTGGAGGTCGCTTTTGATCGAGCCGGGATGCAAGGAGCACGAAACGAGGAAATCCGGGTAGGTCTTAGCGAAGTAATTCGCGATGTAGATGTTCCCGAGTTTGCTCTGTCCGTAGAGACGCCTGGTGGGGTCAACAAACAACACAGTATCCGCGACATGGGAACGCACCATGGGCCCATAAAGCTCCCCTTCGCCTTGATCCACGTGTCGCGCTCTGCGGAGCCTTTCATCGTGGTGAAATCAATGCCGCGGCCAGCAGCGAATGCATGGCCAGCCGACGAGACCTGGAGGGCGCGCGCCGGGACGGTGTCCGTTGCGGCCTTGCGCAGCGCCGGCAGCAGGAGAGTCGTAAAGAGGTAGTGTCCAATGACATTCGTGCCGAATTCTGGTCACTGGTGAGCATACACCCTGATTGAGAGACGGGGACGCACGCATATCATACCCCTGCTTGGTCAATTCGCCCGGCGGGCAGACCATGACCCCCCTATCGTCGTCGTTAGTAAAATTGCCAGAGGCTCCGCGACAACCACGCACGCGTTGTTAATCAGGACATCGAGCTTTTCCTCTTGGGCCAAGAACGCCTCGGCCGCCTTTTTCACGCTGGGCAGGTCTGCGAGGTCGAGCTGGAGGAAAACCGCCTCCTTCCCATTCGTCTCGGCCTTGAGCTGCGCGATGGCGATGGCGGCCTTCTCGGGCGAGCGCGCGGCGAGGTAGACGGTCGCGTTCTTGAGCAACAGCTGCTTCACAGTCTCGTAGCCGATGCCGGTGTTTCCCCCGGTGACGAGGATGACCTGGGACAAGTCAGAGGCAAAGCAAGCCAGCAAGCGGTGAAGACACACCTTTCCGGTTTGGTCGGGAATGTCGCGAGCAGGCTGGAAGCTGGGTGGAGAGAGTCGCGCGAGAACACCGCCCATGGCTTACTAGTCGTCAAGATGGGTGAAAGGAAGATAAAAGAAGCGACGTCTGAGAGCGGCGACGCCTACGTCGCCCCCTCAATGATGATGGGAAGAAAAAACGTGCACATATGCCGTGTATGGCAACAGCCTCTGGACTGTCCGGATTTTTGATGTCCGAGGCTTGATAGCTGATCGGCCATCAATTTGGACCCCAGAAACTAGATCAAATGAGCGCACTTGCCTTTCTGTCTCTCAGTAGACCTCTCTATATACAAACCTGTAAAGCTTTTAGACTGAGAGATTATATATGTCTTGTGGGTGTTGCAGAGTGTGGAAAGGGCAGAGTAATATGAGCAAGAGTTGGCAAGAGCATTGAATTCATCGAGACTGTCTCTCAAACCCTTGCCCTGGTCACGTGACCTTGCCAGCGATGCATAATTTCACTGTCTACTGCACAGGGAGTGGAAGGGAGAGGGTATGGACATATGAGGAGGGTATAAATGAGAGGATAGGAGAGATGTCCAGTGAGGATGATGATAGAGCAGGAGAGGGTGAGTGTAGGGAAGAGATTTGGAGCAGAGTGTGTCGCTACAAACAGAAAGAGCCCATTGGATAACTATGGTAGGAGAAACACCATGCGACCACACACTGGAGGTGGGTCCTCATAGTCTTCTTGGTGTAGCGACCACATACAAAGATGGGTCCTCCACATCAAGGATATGTATAAAAGGCCAGAAAATTATAGAAAAAGGGTACTAAGCGACCACACACAACGGTGGGTCCTCATAGTCTTCTTGGGACAGTGACCACATGCAAAAATGGGTCCTCTGCACCAAGGATATGTAGAAAGGAAGGGAGAAAGGGTAGAAAGTGTTGGAGTGCCTTGTTGATGTGACCGCTCTCACAAGACTTGTCATTAACCATGGATGCAACCACATCCAGCTCTGCTCCCTCTGATGCTCAGAAGGTTTTTGCTTGTAATGGGGCATAGCTTCCACTAATCACAGCTTATCTAGAGGAGAAATAAAGACAATCGTCAAGCATTCAAGCAACGGCAGCGCGAGAAAAACCAACGACAGCAGCTTGAAGCAGAGCGAGCCGCTAAAGAGCTACACGAGAAGGAAGAGAAGTTGAAACAGGAACGAGATGCGATAATAGCTGCAGCTTTGAAGGAGGCAATGGCTGAGGTAGAGAAGATTCGTGAGCAAGCAAATCAGCGCTCGAAAGAGGATCATATCCAGCTGCTCAAACAGGTCTGTGTGTTCAATTTCTCACTGGAGTATCTGAATTCTTTGCCTAATAGGCAATCTCACTTCTTACTGGATTGCCTATGGACGAAATTCATCTTCATTTCCTTTCTGCTGATGAAGAGTTCTTTGCAAAACTAGAGAAGCGTCAGCAGGAGAAAGGAGCACCCTTAGAGCGATGTGATATTGACGAACATGGCCCCGGCTTCGTCTGGATTACAGAGACTGGGCTCCATCTTGGATTCAATATTGACAATCCGACTGAACTTATACTCGCTGTTCGTATAACGTGCGCTCTTCTTTTCTATTTGGTCTCTCAAGCTTACTCTATTGGCTTCTAGTCCATGGACAGATTTTCCTGTCGAAACTCGCCGTCATATTCAAGAGCCTCTCGAAACTCTCATGCGTCTTCCTGAGATTCAATACAAGATTCTCAATAATGCGGTAACTTCTCTTTTGATCTATATACTGATCTTATCGTTTTGAAGGCAGCACATAAGCATGGAGGCACGGACGAAAAAACTGAAGATTTATGGCCACATGTTCGCAGCAGGCTGGCATAACGCACAAGATCCCAAGACAACTCTAGGGTCATATGCTCATCGGAAAATGCTAACTGAAGCAGCAGCTTCTCACGTTGAAGGACTGTGAGTCCTAAAATCATGTGCACAAACATCACTAACGATAAATAGTGCGGAGAAGGTTGTTGACGCATATCCCTTGATTGCAGCACTATACTACCAGCGTCTTTGTATGATCAATCCCGGTGGACTCAATAAGCTTCAAGAATTTGCTGATGCGTACGTTCTCTCATAATTCAATATACATTCTAATGTTCGATTCAGGAATGGAGTACTATCTTTTGCCGATAAACTCGATGGCGAATCTAAGCAACGACCTTTTGCCAACTCTCTGACTCTCACCATCAAGGAATTCGCAAACTACCAACATATGGACAAAGATGCAATCGAGATTGCATTTGGACTGTGGTGGGAAGGTATTGAGCGTATTGTAGATGGGAGGAAGCGGTGGTGTTTCCCAACGGCAGAGGAGGGCGATCACGAGAAGACACAAGGTGGTGAATTTGTTTGGGGCAAGTTCAAGATTGGAGTTGATTTCGCTCGGTATTTTTTTTTTTTGCTTTTGACTGGTTGTACTAATTATGATATAGGGCTAATGGACTTGCTGAGCTATACTGGCGAGGCAAGATTGACCATCATGGAACCCTTCAGAGCAAGGACACCAAAGGCTTCACACGATTTGGTACATCCGTGCAAGTCACAACAAAAGGTGTACAGGCCATGCGGAAAATGTGGACTCCTGAGGAACTTGCGGCATCGAACCACGATATTGCAAATCTCATGACTGCCGCACGGATTATTACTCCCAATGACCGCCTCGAATCACTCATGACGTATTTGACTACTTTGAATGTAATATATTCTCAAGTTTTTTTAGGCTGCTCATACCGCCAAACGTAGAGCAGAGAAGTAAGCGTTGTACTTGTTATGAATTGCCATAAAGTATTACTTGTATTGTGAAAATAAAAGTAAATATAAGTAATACTGTTGCGTTCAGAATTGTAAATTACTCCAATGCAGTGAAGGGAGTTAGGCCAAAATCTTCACAAAATTCATTGCATTTATGCTCTTCGGGGAATGCGAGAAAACTGGAGTGAATGTTCCCTTCAGCAAAAATACGTCCAAGAGAACTATGTTTCTATCAGCAATCGTTGAGTAAGGTGAGAGCAGAGATACGGATGTGTCATTATCTGAGGATCAGTGAGAAGAACCAAATCCGAGTCGTAGCTTATGAAGCCCCCTTATATATAAGTAGTTAGAACTTGAAAAATATATAATCGAGAATACGTACCTTGATAGTCGCTTACAAAGGCTGTTTTATCAGTATAAACATACTGCGCATGTTGACAGAACGAAAGGTATAGTGCAACATGGAGTTGAGCCGTATGCGCAAATCTGTCACGGCGAATCTGGGCGGAACCATTATGAATGAATTTATAGAAAACACCTTTGATGCGCTCCTCCACAAGATAAATCTTTGCTCGCTCTTGCTCCCCCTGTTCGATGCAGAGTGCAGCTCCGACAAAATTGACCTTTGGGATGGGAAGACGTGTCTTGAAGTTGTCTGGCTTGTTTCGTAATGCTGAATGCATAACACCATGGGCCATGCTATTCAACGCCCCAGCCCAAGCGAGCAACAAACACTCCTTAGTTAGATTGACCATCTGGTCTTTGCTTTTATGCGTCTTCTCTAACCCATCATCGCCAATAAAAAATGTCTGTTTGGCACAAATCGGAATTGTTGCAGTGGGCGAACAAATATCGCCATAGTAGGCACGCTTGAAGGTACCAGCCGAGAATGTTGATAAGTCGAGCTTCATAATTCCCGTTCTGGGTGGTGAAAATATCGCCAATCGATCATTTTCCGAAATATCGATAAGCTGCTGAAGCGTGAATTCCTTCACCAAGTCCCGAAGAGTAACGTGAATGTAGCGATCACCAACTAAAGAAATGTGAACAGGTTTGTGGTCAATATGGATATCTTACCAAGACTTGATGCTTCCTTCATTGTCGGTGCATGTTGGTTGGATAATGCAATTCGAAGAGCATTCGTATCCAAATCTTGGAAATTATACGTGGTGTGGGTATTGCTCTGAGAGTTATGGCTTGAAAGAGGATCGGTATCGCGATTTGTAGCCGTTGGATGAGTGCTTGATTCAAAGACATGAGCAACATTCGATGCTGATTGAGCATTGGTAAATGGGGTGGTCGGAAGATCATTGGGTTCAAGGGAGCTCGTCTATCATAAAATTAGAGCACAACAATTATTTTATTATTCAACAGATAACTTACCTCTGTCATTGGTTCCCGATGAGATTCGTGGATATCCTCCTCCTCTTCATCATTCATCGCAATCTCATTCCGGCTCTTCCATTGCGTAAACTTACGGAACCACACTGGCTTTACAAGCAAGAGAACTTGAGCAGGGGCCGCGTTGGGCTTGAATCGACCACGTGTTCCATCCTTGTTAAGTTGAAAGTAGTTTCTCGCAATGACACCACTTTCTGTCAAGCCGAGAGGTGCTCGATTTTTGTCGCAAATAGTGATGTCGGTATCGTCCAGGGGGAAGACAGTTTGGCTTCTAAAATTGTACGATGCAATCTCGTCATTGTACATTGGGCGTATTGCTGCAAGACCTTGGTTTAAAAGTTGTTGCCCAGTAGAATGAACGTAGATGTTCGGAACGACTTGAGATACAATCTAGGCAATGTGAGCAACTGATCACAGTTATAAGTCGGATGTACCCCAATTTTCTGATGCTTATTTGACCGAGCAGGGAGGCTTGCTAGTGTAAAGTTAACTGCGCCAACCATACACGAATGTTTTTCGACTGCAGCATTGCGGTAAAAGGCAAGATCTTCCTCATACTTAGCATGTGCGGCATTATAACCATTAGCCGATGCGACAACAGGTCCGATTGAGCTTGAAGTGTTTGTGTTGGTTCGTGCACGTAATGGATCAGGTGGAGGCGCCATCCCACCCTGACCCATTGCTCGTACAATTACTGGCTCTATGGTAAATTTAGCTCCTAATCAATACTATGATCTAGAGCGCACCATTTCTTTGAGCTGCATTGGTTTGAGTATAGATATTGGTATTGCGCTGAGGACCCAATTGCGGAACACGGAAAGAGGTCGAAATTGAATTGCTCTGTGTTGTTTTCTGGGTGCTTATGCTGCTAGTCTTAGCAGTATAGGTTTTTGCCACTATGTGTGAGGTCAATACAAGAAACACTACTTGGAAACTATCACATACCTTGCGAGTCACGTAACATCTGGCTTTTTTGCTTATAATAGACGTAACAGGATGGGCACAACATAGGACCATTTGCTTTGAGTTGTCGGATTGGTGTATCTGGAGGATAGTTCCCATGACCAGGACCTTTGCACTGAGAGCCACGGTCGCATCTGACAGAATCTGTCATTGAGAAGCTGGACTATAATCAGCTTCTTTAGCTTGGAATCCAGCGTGTAACGCTACCACTGAGTCTAAATATCATGTAAGATGAAAGGAATGAACTTCATGAGCACTCAACCACGTACTTGAACGAAGATAATGCAAGCTGGGCCTTAAAACCTCTTCTCTGTTGTTGTGAGCACAGAACTCAGAATGTCACAATTTGGTCACACTTTTGATTTCAAGGTGACTGGTGCTAAACTTTAGACTACCTCGTTACATATCGTCTTCGTCATCAGTAAATAACTGAGTTAGCAGGTTTTCCGTTTCCTCCTCACTGTTTCCTTCCCCATCACTAAACAAAAGATCATCCGACATTCCATCATCGAGCTCGTCGTTAATTTCACCCTCCAACTCAATATTTTGCTCGAAGACCTGTTGCCCTGACTCAAAGGCTGTTCGAAACTGCTGGTGTACAGGTTGCCCAACTCGGTTAAACTGAGTTTTCAGTGCATTGAATGTTGGCCAGAATGTAGTAGTCGAAACAATAGGTGAGCCCAGTGCCTCATAAAATGGGCGAACAAAGTCTTCGAATGGAGGGCAGGTTAACTGGAAGACAGGATGAGTGGGAGGGGACCAGATTTGTTCCATCTCATCAAACAGTTCCCCAGGAACATGAACCTATTTGCATCATAGGTCAATAACTCGAAATCAAGAAGTAGTCATACCATATAGTTCCTTGCATTGAATCGTTCAGGGTTTCGATGAATCTGACTCGGAATTCCCTGTGGTAAAATTTTTGTGTCGGTTTGAGCGACGAGGACTGTTATTGAATCGGTCAACCCAAGCATTGAGCTCTGCCTGCAGCCAAGGAATAGCAAGCCATCGAAAGAGATATCTATAATAAGCAGATATTAGACGTATTCAAAATGTAGACAATCATACGTTTCAACTGGAGTCGGTGTCTTGAAATCGATATATCCCAACGCTTCACCTTGGTTCATAAGTGACTCGAATCCTGGAGCAAAATTTTGTCGTATTATAGACCAGCCAATCTCAGATTTGATGTTCATTTTGTCAAAAAACCACTTGTGCTGAACCGTTCCTTCAAGTGACGGATCAAGACGCTGGCGAATTGTTGAGTGCACATTGGCAATGCCATTATTCTCCCGTCCTGGATCACTAAAAGTGAGGAGTGGAACACCTAAAGAGAAGATAAGTTTCGATAACATCAAGAATTAACAGTACCTCTATCCTTTCGCATAGCCTCAAGATAATAGCTTGTAATTAGGACTGGGTTGCGATTTGTCCACCATATCTTGACCCAAAGAAACTCGCCAGTGAAGGGATCAAGACCCAGATGAAGAAATAGACCATAGTACCGCCACTTATCATGTTGGTCGAAGCTAACAATCTCGCGAGGTCCAGCACTATAAAACCGTCCACGGACAAATTTAGCACGATGTTTGCGTGATTTGACTGCAGCTGGCTCAAATTCATGCAGATATGCCAGAATGGTACGCCTTCAAGTCTGGTTAGACCTGTAATTATCCACAATCAGAATACGTACTCAGCAACCTTGACTTTATGTTCACGACGGAGTGTGACGACAAGTGTGCGAGCACCCATATGAGGGTAAGATACACGAATGCTTCGGACAAGTGCTTTAAACTCATCCCCCAGCCCAGCTGCCTCTCGTTGCGGACGTTCAGTAGTTGTAGTTTATTGCGTGCGAGAGACACTTTTGTAGCTGTTGAAGACTTAGTCTCAGGTGTTCTCCAAGTTCACATCTCTTACTCACCTCACACTATACTTTTCACAATCAAGCTGAAGTTCCTTGACCATATCCAGCTCAATCTCCTTTGCAATCTGAACGTCATTCCAGTTGAATAGCCAGTAGTACTCGACTTTCTTATGGAACCAGTCTTCTGGGGCTAAACAGGCTAAGAACAATATATTGAGGGTGGTCCACATACGTAGCTTGGTTTTGGGCATCTTCGTACACAAGTGTTACAGGCTAAGATGTAGGTAGCTGGGGTCCCTGATCACACCGCATCAATGTTCCGACGTCAAAATTTTGATAGTCCAGAGGCTGTTGCCATAGCCGTGTGACGTGGCGATGATGGACGGCATGCCGCGATCGTCATCTCCGTGACACAGAAGAGACTGAGAGATCTCTTCCTTTCGGACCGTCAACTCCTGGCTCCAGTGGCCAAGTCACGTTCAAGTTATCCAGGAAACAAACAGAACTTTGACTGATATACAAAAGGCCAGACATCCGACGTTGTTCCTCGGTATGACAGGTTACCGAGGAACAACGTGTAATGCCCTACTGGTTCACACGGATAACCACTTTCCCCACGTGCTTCTGACTATTTAGATAGGAGAAGGCATCGTTTGCGTCATCAAACGCAAACACCTTGTCCACGATAGGACGGGTGGTCTCCGGATTGGCGACAAAAACGCGGTTCATGTCTTCGAATCTATGGGAAATCAGCACTGCAGATCGAAACAAACCTGCGAAACTCACTGCGAGACCGCGCCAACGTAGATCCCGCGGAATTTGAGCTGCTTCCAGAGGCTCGGGCCGATGATGTCCGGTGGCGTCACGTTCCCCTAGGGTGCAGTATGAGCAAATACCAAATACTGGAACAAACACGCACCACGCCTCCAAGCAACCCAATGATATCGATGCTGCCACCCATCCTGACGGCGGCAATCGATTTGGCGAGGGTTGCGTTGCCCACGACCTCGATGACGCGATCGACCCCACGCCCGCCCGTGAGCTTGAGAACGTCCTGCTCCCAGTCCGGGGTCGTCTTGTAGTTCAAAACATGTTTTGCGCCGAGCTTGGTCACCGCCGCGAGTTTCTCGTCAGATGAGGACAAAACGATAGCCGTGGCGCCGGAGGCCACGGCGAACTGCAACGCGAAGCTTCGGAAGCACGGGCAATTAGCAATTGCCGAATTATTATAGGCAAAGACGCACATTGATACTCCGCCCGTCCCTTGGATAAGCACTGTATCCCCGGCCTTGATGCGCTCGTAGCCATAGACTAGCGCGTTATAGGCGGTAAGGGCCGCGCAGGGCAGGGTCGCCGCTTCTTCCCACGACAAATGGCCGGGGATCTCCACGAGTGCCTCGGGAAATCGATCAGCCTAATCGCCACCCGGAGCGCCGGCGCTTACTCACATGGGCTGGGAACGCGCGGTATTCGGTCAAGACGCCGTGGGCCGCACCACCTGCTGCGCTGCTCGACACCGCTGGGGTCATTCCGTCGGGGTAGATGAGGTCCAAGAAGAAGTTGTTCGCCACACGATCGCCGGCCTTCCACTTTGTGACGTCCTCGCCCACCGCGACGACCTCGCCGGCCATGTCTGAGCAGGGAACGACATTCTCGGCTATCCTGGGACGGATCTTAGTCGATGACAAGCGCTCAATCGCGCAGCGCACGGGGGTGGATAGTATCCATTCACAACGAGGAGGTCGCGATACTGTTCAACAAGATCAAGTCCTCTGCCATGATGCAGCGCGACGACATACCTGGAGAGAGACGGCTTTCACTTTGACCAGGACCTCCGTCGATTTCAGTTTCGGAACCGGCGCTTCGACGAGCTTCAGTCCATCAAGCGAACCTGCCTACAAGCGAGTAAGAAAGGACCATGTTAAACTCCAAATGTACCTTTTGGACGCTATAATGGCGGGCAGTAGATGGAATGGACATGGTGTCGGTAAGCAACGTTGATATCGATAACGTGAGAATCTCGCCGGTAAATATCCGTGTGGAAATCGGGCCGGGAGTGATGGACTTCATCTTCATCAAGGTCGCGGCTTAATGTATTCACTCCGGTGTTTCCTGTGAAACCGGCTCCTGAAAGATGGTTTAAAAATATTGGTTGCTGAACAAATTCAAAAAGAAAAAGGTACATAGTTACAAAACTTATCAATTTTTTTAAATTAATTTTCCAAGAAGGGAAATCATGATAATGCTGCTTGTATTGATAATGTAATAGATTATTTGCCTAAATGAAATTTATGGTATTTTATCTGTGAAACACAATGATAAAATCCTCACTTTGTCCCAAAACTTGAAATGGTTTTGCTTTTTTGTGGGGCCCTGTAGTGCTGTCCACAATCATATTATGCCAGATTGTAAGGGCAACCCCCAGAGGCCTAAGATCAAGGTCCCAACAGAGGATCCAAAGGGTGAATAATTGTAAGCAAATACAAAAGAAGCTGAGCTAGCAGGGAGGATCCAAAGAGAAGAAACTCTAAGGGTCTGCCTGCGGTAGCTGACAGCCTGAACTATGTACTGCGCTCTTGACACACCAAGTGTGGTCATTGATCTGAGCAGTATGCCTGCACCATGTTGTAGGCCAGGTCCCCGGGGGATCTCCAGGGTGGGGTGGTGATGCACCTAATATGATCACCGGAATTGGAATTGGACCGGAATGTAAGGGCAACCCCGGAGGCCTGAGATCAAGGTCCTAGCAGGGGAGGATCCAAAGAGTGAATAGAAGTAAGCAAATACAAGTGAGGCTGACCTAGCAGGGGAGGATCCAAAGAGAAGAAACTCTAAGGGTCCGCCTGCTAGGTAGCGGAACTATATACTGTGCTCTTGACGCGCCAAGGTTGATCGTTGCTCCGTGCAGTATGCCTGCGCCATGTCGCAGGCCAGGTCCCAGGGGGATCGCCAGGCGGGGGCGGCGATGCGCCTGACGGAGGCGGTGATGCGATCGCCGGAGTCGGAACCGGAGTCGGACCGGAATCGGAATCGTCTCCGAGGGGCCGAAAGGGAGGTTCCCCTGACATCACCCCCCCCTTTGAATGCGGCGTCCCGACGCATAGACCGGAATGGAATCGAGTCGAAGGTTGCAGAGGCGATGTGCCGTGGTTTGCCAGGGTACTTACGATAGAACTCCGCGATTTTCTCCGGGGCGAAGACGCGGTCGAAGCGGACCCACTGGTCGTGCGACGCGTCGTAGCCTTTCCATCTGACGAAGTAATTCAGCCGTTTATACCTCACCCTTGCGTCCAGGATTTCCTCTACTTCCCACTCCGGGACTCCGTCCTCGAGGTCGAGCCGTAGTGGTAGTATTTAGGCTAAAACCAGTAGGTGTACTTAGGAAATGCATTGCCTAGCCCCCTAGCTACAGCCAGGAGGCTGTATATACCCAGTTATTTAGCCTAGTACTCCTTTCTAGGCCAAAGAATTGTTTTTATAGAAAATATATTATCATGCTTTATCTGGTACCTTGTGACTGATGGTAACACACCCTTTAAAGTAATGATTTTATTGTGGAACCATTTTTGATTGCCATCAGTACTTTTGATGGCTATATCATGATACATCATTTTTGTCCAAATTAGGATTGTTATTGATATAGGCTTTCCCAACTATATACCGGATCATCGGCCTGAAGAAAAGGAGTTTAAAGTATTATATATGCATAAATATTAAATGATATGTATTAGATAACCATTTGTTCCATCATTGATGCTATTGATTGAGGGACTTTCTGCATGGGATTAGGCTAAATAGCTAGGTGCACCCAGGCTGAGTGTAGCTAGTGGGCTAGACAATGGATATCCTGGGTGCACTTTGGAGGCTAGGCTAAATCTTACAGCTACGGGTGCGAGGTCCGGAGGGGGCTGGTCGTAGCCGGGGCGTCCGTCGAAGGGGTCGTCTTGGGCGAGCTCGAGCTTGACGACGGGGAAGACCGGGTGGAGCTTCGAGTAGCGCGGAGGGAGGTCGAGCTTGTAGGCACCTTTGCTGATCTCCGCGACTATCTTGAACGGTCTGAGGCGGCGGTGGGAGAACTTCTCCGAGGGGCGAGTCGTCCTGATGTCAGAGGCATCCAGCCAAACACGGTTGCCAACCTTAAACTCCGGAGACGGAGTGCATCTCCGGTCGTAGTAGCGCTTGTACTCCTCTTTGGCCTTAGTGAGCGCGGCCTTAGCTTCGGCAATACCAGTGGCAATCCGGTCGCGGAACTCGTTCACGGACTCCATAGCGGAACGGACTCCGGGTTCGAAGCCCATGCGCGGGAGTCGTCCCGTGTCCGTCATGAAGGGGACTTGTTGCGTGGAGGAGTGAACGTGGTTGTTGTAGGCGAATTCTGCGGCCGGAATCAGCTCATCCCAGTCGTCCTGCTGATAGTTGGTAAAGATCCGCAGGTACTGCTCCAGCTCCTGGTTGACGCGCTCTGTTTGACCGTCTGTCTGCGGGTGGTACGCGGTGGACGTGGCAGGCTTGATGCCGATTAGACGCCAGAGTTCTCGGGTGAAGTCCGCGATGAACTGCGAGCCGCGGTCGGAGACGTACTTCTCCGGAGTCCCGTGATGGCGCCAGACATTCCGGTAGTAGAGGCGAGCCGCCCCTACTGCGTCGACCGTGGTGTGACACTCCGAGAAGTGGGCACGCTTCCCAAGGGTGTCGACGACGACCATGATCGCGTCGTACCCATGGGCCTCCGGAAGCTCGACGATGAAGTCGACGGAGACGGTATGCCAACGCTCTGGGGGCGTTTCCGTCGGGTGCAGCTCTCCGTGGGGCAGTCTCCGGAGTGCTTTGGTGCGACAGCACAAGTCACAGGTCGCGACGTACCGGCCAATATGGCGAGACATCTGAGGCCACCAGTAGTTCCGGGAGACCAACTCCAAGGTCTTGAAGCGACCAGCGTGTCCGGCAACTCGAGTGTCGTGGCAGAGCTCGATGATGCGTCTCCGGAGGTCCTTATCCTTAGGTACGACAATCTTCCCACGAAAGTGAAGAAGACCACCGGAGACAGCCCACTCGTCGGAGCGCGAGGAGCGGGGGCCTCGAGCTTGACCTTGGACCTTTAGGAGTTGCCGGGCCGCTAGTGCGACGGGCTCCTCTAAGTCAGGCTCACCGGAGAGGGCATCGCGGATGTCGCGAAGGAGTTCAGAACCAGGGCCGGAAACGGAAACACCTTCGAGAGCGCGGACATGGAAGAGTTCGGGCCGCAGAAGGACGACGTCGGGAGTTGTCGGAATCGATTCCGTGGTCGGGTCTCTGAGAGAGGGCGTCAGGTCGGCCCATGTCGCGGCCAGGCTTGTGGTGCAGCGTGAAGTCGAACCGGGAGAGGTAGAGGGACCAGCGGGCCTGTCTCCGGTTGAGGTGCTGCGTCTTCCTGAAGTACTCCAGATTCTTATGGTCAGTCCAAATCTCGACGGGATGCGCGGCGCCCTCGAGGAAGTGTCTATACTCCTCGAGTGCGCGGATGATCGCGAGCATCTCCTTGTCGTGGATTTCGTAGTTGCGTTGGACATCATTTAAGCTTTTGGAATAGAATGCTACAGGGTGCCACTTCCCGTCCGGGGCGGATTGTGAAAGAACCGCCCCGTCGCATAATCAGAGCTGTCCGCCTCAAGTCGGAAAGGCCGTGCGTCGTCCGGAATCGCCAGGACCGGTTCCGAGGTGACTGCGTCCTTGATCGCTTGGAACGCGGGAGGCCTCCGCGTCGCCCCAAGTCCATTGCTGGTCCTTCTTGGTGAGCACGAAAAGAGGGCGCGCAAGGGTCGAGAAGTCCCGAATGAACCTGCGGTAGAAATTAGCGAACCCAAGGAACTGCTGAATGTCCTTCTTGTTTTCCGGAGTCGGCCAAGCGGAGACGCCTGCGACCTTGACGGGGTCCATTTCGACGTGGTTGTGGGAGATGATGACTCCGAGGTACTCGATTGACGATTTTTCAAAGTCGCACTTCTCCGCTCGGAGGTACAACTTGTGCTCTCGGAGTCGCCGCAAGACCTCCTGAACGATCTGCCGGTGTTTCCGGAGGTCGGAATGGGCGATCAGGATGTCGTCAAGGTAGATCATGACGTCTCCGGAGAGGATGAGGTCCTGGAAAATGTCATTCATCATCGTTTGGAACGTCGCGGGAGAGTTTGTCAGGCCGAAATACATCACCAAGGGCTCGAACAGGCCTCGGTTAGTCCGGAAAGCCGCTTTCCACTCGTCACCTTCCTTGATCCGGACGTTGTTGAAGCCCCAACGGACGTCGAGTTTGGTGAAGTAACGAGCGCCTTTGAGCCGGTTGATGAGGTCGTTGATCAGCGGAAGGGGGTACCGGTTTTTGACAGTCATCGCGTTGAGAGCACGGTAGTCCTGGACGAAGGAGTCCGCCGTCCTTCTTCTTGACGAAGAAGACCGGAGACGCCATCGGAGACTTGGAGGGGCGAATCCGGCCCGTCGAAAGCCCTTCCTCAATGAATGCGTCGAGCTCGCGTTGCTCGAGGGGCGAGATGGGGTACACCTTGCAGTTGGTGGGCTTAGCGTCGGGGACGAGTTCAATGGCGTGGTCCCAGGCTCTCCGCTCCGGTAGCGTGTCGAAGGACTCCTTGTTGAAGACGTCCCTGAAACTCCTTAGCCCAGTCCGGGATCTCGGAGGGCGGAGGGGCGGAGTTCCTGGCGAAGGCTTCGGCCAGGCGCTGTGAGACAGTACTGCCAGCGCGTATCTCCTCCGAGGGGCGGAACGAGGTGTAGAAGATGCGGTCACCATCTTCAAGCTGACCATCGTCTTCATCGTCGTTGGAGTCCGGCATCAGATCAGGCAGGGCGGAGTCGTCACCGGAGACGGAATCGTCTCCGTCGTCAGGCCCAGAGAGGTCCATGGCGCAGACCGAGGGGAACGGGCCGGAGCGGAGTCGCTTCTGGAGCAGCCGGAGTCGCCGTAGCTCAGTCCGTTCAACGCGTTCTTCCTCGCGGCAAGTGGAGCAGCCGCGGGGGCACCGTGTCATCTTGACCTCCTTGGTTTCCCAATTGATTTCCGGGTTATGCTTCCGCAGCCAGGAGTACCC